TGGAACCAAGAGAAATTCTGTTCATCATATACCCAAAAGACATCGTCTAGGGCATCTAGGAATCCTTCTGTTCCATCTTCTTCATCTTCGGCCCAATAGCCAAATGTACCATCGAGTTCTCCTTCGTCTAGTACGAGAAATGATCTTCTACCTCCAGCACCTGTCGGCTGCATCAAAGGATTGTCTACTGAAGTCTTTGTTGTGCAGAACATCTCAATGAATACTGTCCTCAACTCTGTTGTGGTGTATTGCTGCAGGACCCTGCCACGATGAGTCATCAAAGAAGTCAAAGTGTTTCGCTGGTCCTGAGACAAATCTGCAAGTGACAGCGTGAGTAAGGCAATCAGATTTTCTCCTAGAGGAAATTCGTTCTGATGAAAAGTCCTCATATTGCCATTGATGGTCTGCATGATTTCCTGAATCCTTTCTGCCGTTGGTGCTACTCCAGTCAACGCTGCATCTGCCTGCATCTGAGCTAGGACCTGTGGATGTGCTTGAGTGACTGGTTCTAACATGTCCATCCAACTGCTCATAAGCCTTTGGAGTAAAATCTGGAATCTTGTCATCCATTTCATCATGTCAGCTGATCCTCGATTGAAGCGCACGAATTGCATAAATCTATACAGGAATACATTGGTTGATCCTTTCACGAAATATGGTCGTAGTACTCGTTTGAAATATTCTACGCCGGCTCCTGGTGGATCATTTGCCTTCAATGCATCTCTGTCTAAAACACGCTTGTATACAGCTGCTTCTCCTTCTAATCTGTTTCTCAATGCTGGTCAACTCTTCTCATCTTCCAGCTCGGTGATATCACACCAATCGTCTATGGCATCCTCATAGGAAAACCATGAAGTCTTTCCATCATAAGATGGGGGCACCTTTGTAGTGACCTGTGTTGTCATTGCTATTGCTGCTGGTTCTCTTCTCACATGCCTATTCACATAGGCTGCTGGCTCATAAGCCACATCCGCATCAGGCTCTTCCCAGTCGTCTATCCAATCCATGGCTGTTTGCCCACAAGCAATTCTATGCCTAGGAAAGGAGCTCACCTGGGTCTTCCAGGATCACTGCTCCGCTACCACTGAAAGAGTGACTAGGGCGTACACGGTAGAGGTGCAGACCGCTAGTGTCTTTTATGCGCAGAGTCTTATCCTCTTGCTCTTTGAGCCTTGAAGCAGTCAAGTATGGACACACTATATCGGCTGTTGGAGTGGAACCCTGTACAGGTAGGCTCTACTTTTCAGGGGGGGGGGTTAGCTTGATATATCAATCTTTAAGGCACGCAGCCCCTCCCACCACAACATTGCTAAAGCAAAGAAGAACTCAGCTAGCATGCTAGCTTTCGTGATAAATACATTGACAACCCTCTTTGTACTTGAACCTGGTTCTGGACTTCTTGATCTCATATGTCTGGGGCTGCTTGCGGAGAATGCGATGGAATTGTGACACGGTTACTTCTGGCCGAATTGACCCGCTGGTCTTGAATGCCAATTGGGAAGCAATGGGAGTCCGCAATATTTGAGCATCTAATTTCAACCCGTTTTGCCAAAAGAGTTTGCCAAATAACAACTAAACCGGCAGCAAACCCAAATATGTGCTCCCTCTCTCTACAAATAGCAAGAGTTTTGAGGGCATCTGTCTTTCACAAGAGTACCGAGCTTGTTCACCACATCCTGCTCTATGTGACAATGTGTTGCGTCGTTGTCAATCATTTCTGCACCGAACAGCCCTGCCTTGTCTGTAGGGCATCTGCTGGAGAGTGGTGGACACCAGACTTAGGGCTCAAGGTGGCAAGCGAAAATCAAGTCTTGTTTGAGTCGTGACAATTCATGTTTTTCTTCAGTTGTGACTTGTGACGTGTAAATTTGTGGCAGGCACGGGCTCATGGGATTCACGAGCCCCCGATATGCAAAATACGGTATCGGACTTTGTTCTTGAGCCACAATAGGTTGGTGCGATATTGGTTCCACACGCAAAGAGCAACAGCATGGTCAGGTACTTTAAATTACTACATCACCGCTCGCCCAGTTTGAAGGTGATCACGGCTGCTATGCTATACGTCCAGTCGAAGGCTTCCTCAACTCAAGGCCGGGAGCATAAACGCGCCGCAATCAGCTTCACAACCTTTCCAAAAGAGCTCAAACGGCAAATGAAGGCATGAACGCAACCTGCTTCACAGCAGCGTTAAGCGTCTGAGCTACGGTTGAGCCATGAAGGCAACCAAGCTCCCAATAAACCAGGATTTCTTGGAGGCTTTTGTACCCGCACGCAACATACTTGTTCCCGCCAAAGGCATCCGCACCCACATGCCATATGAAACTGCCTTCAACAAGAGCACTACAAACAGAACGTAACGTGAGCACTTGGAGAACCCAGACCCAGCCCATCCTGGACAAAAGGCCCCAAAGGCCCCAAATACCTCAATTGACTCACAGAAACAGCTTTCATGCGGACATTACACCTTCATGTAAGAATCTGTGAGAAGGCAACTTTAGCAATTTGGTCTACCACTTTCAAGCTTTCGAGCCGCACAAAGGCCAAACATACTGTATTTGCGTCTGTAGGCATGTTGGATACACACGGCCACAGCTTCCCAATGCATTCGTGTTTGTTTCGATCGGCATGGACAAGACATGACAGAACCTTCCCCAATGCTCTTGGGGATACGGGATACGTAGAAGTTGCAAGCCCCGAGCTGGAAGCAACCAACCAATGCCAATTATTGAAACTTTTGCAACTTTTTGCTTGTTGACTGTGAAGCCTGTGGGTGACATCCCAGTATGAGCTTTCATCCCAACTTTTTCAAGTCATAGACAGTCTATCAGTCTATCCCTAAACTCTTGCATCCTTTCATTTCGCTCTTTTCTCTTGCGGATTGGCTCTCATGTGTCTCGCATGAGCAAACATCTCACTCCCCCTGACATTGGCTGGTCGAGGCCAAGCTACTAAGGCCACAGGAGAACTTTCAAAACAACTCAATGGACACGAATGAATGAACAGTTATTCGGCAGTGACTCAAAAACAAACTTGCAATGCTCATTTCATTATTGCTAGTCACAATGATTGGGCACTAATCATCACATCAGCAACAAAAGCCTGAACGATGAAACACGCACGCCTCTTTGTCCTCTGGAACGTCCATTTTTTCGTCCATTCCATCGGCCTCAAGGAAGTGCCAACTCAATCAATGACTTGTTGTGGTTCTCCTCAATCTCCCATATCATGAAGTTCACTGTTCGCTTTTGTTTCTTGCACTAGTGATAAATCAAATCCGGTCAAGTCAAGTGAGTGAGACACAATCAATCTCAAGGAGGAAAGGAAACTGTTCTTAAAGATGCAACAACAGCACCAAAAAAATCCAAAAAACACAGTCAGCAGCATGAATGCTTGAACCTGCGCCTCATCCATTTGCCTTTCCTCCTTTCCTTCTGCCTGCGCACTGCCAATTCGCTCTGAATCCCAAGGACAAGTGGTCAGAAATCCCTTTTGTAGCATTCAGTTTTGGTGGGATAGTGGTTTGTTAAAGGTATCTTCTTTTTTGCGCGTCGCCGCAATTCGAAAGCATCGCAAACAAATGAACTCCTCTGGTCGCAGCATTTCGTTAACGCATTGTTGCTTCCGTTCACACATTGTTGGTTCCGTTCCTCGTTCTCTTTGTCATCACCCGCTCCCTCATCGACCTCAAATCTCAATCATATACATTGCCAGAGCAAAAAAGGCAGGCAACATGAGCCTCCTCATTTTCGGGAAGGCTTTCTTTTCTGTCAATTTCCTCGACCTGAACAAGAGAACCAACAAAACAACATAATGTGAACTGAATATTCTGTCTTTCTGCAATCCCCATCTCCATCGGCCAAATGAACCAAGCAAAATACAGGCCGAAGGAAAGGACTGGACGCTTTCAAGGATGCCACACAAGGATTGCAAAACCGCTCAAGCAGTGAAGACTGACTGCATTGGCCCATGCCTCGCCCGTCTTTTCCTCCTCCTTTCCTTCTGCCTCAACCCAAAGCACAAAAGCAAGCATTGACAAGCAAAGCATCAAAAAAGCTATCCTGGAAAGGTTAATGAAGGGAAACTGCAGGTGTTGAGGATTGGTTGGCACCGGAAGAATTTTAATGAATTTTAACAGCTCGGAGCTTGCTCAGTTGGTATATGCAGCATTAATGTGAGCCTGGAGACACCTACAACACGCTTTGTTTTATGTTCCGAAGACTGTTTTGCACGGAAGCCTTTGCGATCCATTGAACCATGTCAAAAACATCGCATGTAATGTCCAGTCCAGTTCCACTTACAGTATACCTCATGTGTTCTTGCCCCCGACGGCTCCCACATTGAGGTTCTATCAAACTCGATTGGATAGAAAGGGGCTGAAATCAACTCCTTGAAACTCCCCTATGTGCTTGCTGAAACAGAAAGTAGCTTAAAGTGACCTTTCGTGATTGGAAACCTTGTACTTACTTTGAGGTCTGCAGCCTCTTTGACTCGAAAGATCTTCAAAGCATATCGTTGTCCCAGTTCCTCGGTGGCTTTATCATCATCCATTCTCTCCTCCGCCTCCGAGGCACTAACATGGAGCCTTAACGCAGAGAACAACTTGTCAATATACGATATATTAACATTATTAGCCTCTTTCTCCTCCTTCTCTTCTGGAATGTTATCTTTCTGGTCCATGTCGTCGGCCTCAAGCAAGTCAGGCGGACAGTCGGAAACAGAGTGAAAATATATAAGTTCTCTCTTCGTCTCTTCAGCTTTTGGTCGGTCCATGTCTCCTGAACTTGTTGCCTGAAGGACCTTTTGCTGAACATTTGCGGAGGCCATATAGCGAAACATTGATGAAGGCGGACAACAAGGACACCAAAATGGCACAGTATGCAAGCAACAAAGACACTATACCTCTGTCAACAAACACGGCAACTTGAGCCTGTGCCTCATCTGTTTCCCTCTCCTTTCCCTCTGCCTGCAGCTTCCCAGCCCGCATTAACGATATTAAAGGTGAGGGGAGCGCAATTGAGTGAATTGCAAATAGCAGTGGACTGAGGATGTGTGCAATCCTCGCAAACATGCACACTTCCCCTATCCGAATCCTGCTTCCAAGGCGTACTTGTACTGCTGGGCTGCCACCGTGATTAGCAAGCAGGATGCTCCCTGTTTCTGTGGCTGTCTGTGTTGAGTTGATTGTGCTCTAAGCAACGGTTCATTTTTGGTGGTTTCGTTGGTTGGTCGCACTATATGATTGTATATGTCACAGAACCGTTTTGTTCGTCAGTGCTTGCTGCTTGCCCTTTCTAGTGCTCCTCCACCCACTGCTTCAAACCGTGCCATGCCGCGTGTTGGTTGGTGCATGTTGACATCGGGGAGTGTGGATTGAAACTTAAATTCGCAAGTGGCATGCAAAAAAATGTTTGCAATGGATGAAAGTAGACAAGTCTCCCGTGATAATATGCTGAAAACAATGCGCTGAAGGAAGCTCGAGCTCCGCGAGCAACGTACGATTGTTCGATATTATGTTTGCATGCCACACTTTCTCGACAAAATTCAAGGGAATGTGACAAGGAAAATGCAACAGCTCAACAAGCCGGTGATTTGTTGATGACCCGCTTGTGCAAGCGCATCAAAGCCATGGCATGTTTCATGGAAGCTCTTTTGCATTCTGCCTACGAGAGGAACACCTCGTGCCACCTATAGTACATGCGCGCTGACAAGCATGTGACAAATATATACAGTACGTCCACATGCAACAAAACAAAACCTGTTCATGTTCAAACAATACCCTGAACTCCGACTACACTTCTAATTGCAAGCGAGCAGTCGCACTGTATTCAGAAGGTTACTTCGGGAGATACGTACTGTGCATAAACAAGTCGATGCTCCAAGCAATGCTGTGCATACATTGACATCGCCTCTGGTTGATATTGGACGCTGGTGAACTCGTGTGTGATCATTGGCTGTTTGGCCTTTGAGAACAACTGGGGCTTGGGGGCTTTGAGTATGCCGCTCTGTTCCTCTACGCACACATAAGGTACAGTAGGTCTGCTGATATTAATTCCTCAGCAAAAGACCACAAGCCCGGAACAACTCCAACTTTCTGGTCACAAATGAGCACATGAAAGAAACCATCTATCAAATGGCTCCTCTGAACAAATTGAAACCCATTTCCTGAGGAAATACATGGGCGGCCACTGTGGTGGCTCAGCACATCGTTCGCACTTGTGCTTCTTAGCTCTACAGGGCTCTACACGACAGTATTTTAATCGGTGGCCATTTGATAAGACCCTCCTCATCTTGCGTCAACTGCTGCCACCATCACTTTTAGTGGGGAAGCGTGTATGCAAAGAAAGGACAAATCTTTCATGGGGTTAAGGTGGATTAAGGGCGCGGTCTTGTGCACCTTGGCAGTTCAAAGACTCGTGCACAATTCAACTGCAAAGTATGCAACAGTCACAAGTCACAAGGTCATCAAAGCCATTATCTTTCAACCACGCCGTTGGCTGTTGAGTCTTTACTGCTGTGTCCACTGGGCAAAGATTGGCTCAAAGTACAACTCAAAACAAACAGGGTCAAACAGGGACGAGCAGCCACTCCAAAAAGAGCAGTTCCGGCCACTGGGGTGGTGTCGCAGGCCAAAAGACTCAGCTTCGTTGGTCATCTGGAATCACAAAGAAAGAGAAAGAGCATCGATTGAGAAACCACACTCTAAAGATCTCTAAAGGCCCTTTCTCCCTCTAATTTCGTCACAACGCGCTCTCCTGCACCAATCACAATAGCTGCCAGTAGAAGGAGCCAGAATGCAATTTCAGGATCATGGATGCTGATTGAGCTGAATCAAACAAGCCCTTTTTCTTCGCTGGAACTCCGAATCGAAACTCAAACAACATCAGAAAAATTAATAAATAAACAGAAACAACACAAAATAACTACACTTATAATATAACCAAATCGTTGTAAAATGTTGCAAACGTCAAACGCAACGCAGAAGAAACCAGTCGCAACACACAATGGGGGAACAAATCGGACACCGCTTGGCAAACGACGCCACACTGCCACATTGAATGAACAGCTTCGCAAACGATACCAGTCTTGCACAAATGTGTGGTTGACTCGATTCCTCGTCGTCTTTATCCTCCTCCATTTTTTCCTCAACCTCTCAAGAATTGCAGGCAGCCCAAGCGGCAAAAACATGAACATGAGCATGCCTCTGGCATGTCCTTGTCTAGTATGTACTCTTTTTTGTCCAAGTCCTCGGCCTCAAGCAAACCAATGGCAAGTGCAACTCTCACTGACTGCACCATTTGAAAACCTTGAAACCAGGTGCATTCGAAACGGTTGCCGTGACAAATTCAGGGTTCACACTAACTAGAGTTCCAAGTAAAACACTCACCAAGAACCTGAGTGCCTCGTCATTGGTTCCATCCTCCACCTCGATGTCATGGACTTTCTCCACCTAACAGGTTTCAAGCTTTGACACAAACTTTCAACCAAGCAATCCGTTTATGTCAGTTTGTCGAGTGATCATCGTAAAGATGTTCCATAAAAAAGAGCGCCAGCACAACGTGAAAACAAACTGCAGCCCACGAACCCGAATGCGTACACGATCGCACACGTATACGGAGAAGCAAGGCCCCCAAATCCCTGAGACTTGTGGGGCACTCTTTTGGGGCCTTCTTGTAGCCCTTCTTGCCTGCAGTGGCGTATCGCTCTTCTTGCCAAAGTGGCTAGATGTATCCACCCTAAAACAACATAGGCAACAATGCCTAACGGTGCAGAATGCTCTGATTGGTCAAGAGCACGGCCCACGACCAACCACCCATCGTTTCTCAGAAACCTTGTGCTTTTTTTTGCAGGGCACTCTTGTGAAACAATGTGAAACACTTTTGTTACGCACTCTTGCACTCTTGCGCGACACTCTTGTGGGACACTCTTGCAGGGCACTCATGTGGGAAACTCTTTTTGGCACAGGGCTCTGATGTGGGGCGCTTCAAGTTCACAAGCGAGGGGTCAAGCCGAGCCTTCAAAACGAACATGCCGCACGACTCCCAAAAGTGACACATCAAGTCTTCAAACCAAGTGGATCCAAGTGGTTCTTCAACAGTGACACGTCGAGCTTAGCCTTCAAGTTGAGCAATTCGTAGGAGACATACTCCAAAAGTGATGCGACGTCAAGGATTCAACGCAAACATTTCGTAGTTCTGTACAAGACTTCCTCCAAAAGTGAAGAGTGAAGTCTCGGGAGTGGCCCTGCACAGCAGTTTTGCAATCGAAGTCCCTCGCAAGAGCGGCCGCTGCCGCGCCGCAATAAAACAGCGAATCACATGTGTGCCGATCGTCACAGCCTGACGGTTCCCTGCCTGCATCCCAGCACCTCCAACATGCACAGAGTACCGCGCCTTCCGTTGAAAGTGACCACGCCACACCTTTGAACAATTTCGGCACTTTCTGACCATACTCACGCCGCGTTCTTACACATTTAGACTTGAATGTCACGAAAGCGCAGCGTCGATTCAAGCGCTTCAGGGGAAAATTTCGATGGTACAGCGACGCAAATCGCTGACCCACGAAATATTGCATCTGCGCAGCAAAATCATCCTTCACGCTGAGGCAATGTTGGGTTTCGATGCTATTTCACACGCTCCTCCAAAAGCTTCCCCAACGGGCCACGGGAGGCGGGGGCCTTATCGGGCTTATCGATATGCAAATGGCCGCGGACGGCTGTGGGCTGTGAACATGAAGGTAACGTTGCGCAAAAAAAAGGCTTTACGCCCCGGACCCCCAGAAATAAAAATAGAACCCCTCGGCACGCGCGCACACACACAAACATGCAAAACGCACCTTCTCCGAAACGAGCTCGACGTCACCATCATCGCCGTTGGCAGTTTCGCCCATCCCCTCTTCCTGTCCAGAAGCGACACAAAATGTCCACTGTATCATATATACACATTATATAGACTTGGTATAGACCACGTCTGGTTCATTATGTTCATTCTTGCCTTCTCTCCAATCTCATTTTGTACTTCATTTTGTTCATTCTCGTCCCAAATCTTCACACAAGCTGGCCTGTTGCTGAGCTACCTTCTCTCGCCTGGCACAGCTACAGGTGGCAAACTGCGTCAAAAGGCAATCCAGTCGCCACTTTCAGTGTGGTCGAATTGCTTTATATGTCCATCAGGTGTCCGCCCTTTCACCCGCACCTTAAGCGAGCCTCTGCTTCAAACTTAGCAATTCCAACCTGCGGACTACGATTCGGACATTGTACAATACAAAAGACCCTTTCCCTCAAAAAAAAGACCCCCTTGACAACTTCGGACTTTGTGATTTGTGGATTCGAATGGGGAATATTATGAGATGATTCTAGTGTTTTGCATTCTTTCACGTGCCTTTTGTCGCAGTGGCAAAAACTTCTCGAAAGTGATGGGCTGCAAGCTGGGCGCGTCGGCACACATAGAGTCTCTTGGCATATTGTCTGGCAAACAACAAACAGTGGATGACACAAACTTGAAACATGGTAAGCAAGCGAAAAAAAGCTGAGACACGCGGAATCATCTTCCCAAAATCAACCACGGACGTGCTCTGCCAAGGCACACTCTCATGATTTGGTCTAAAAGGTCTTCTGACCTTCAGAGGAACTTCTTGGTCAGCCAAAATGTTCAAGAAATGTGTGTTGTGCTGTTTGATGTTGCATCAACCATGTGGCCCTGGCAGTGCAATTTCAAACTCATGCTTTCCAAATGCCTCCACCTGGCAAATCACTCCAAAGCTGAAGCAAGAGTCCGTACGGATGTGTAAGGACATGTTCGGTTGAACAAGTTGGTCCGGGGTCTGTTTGATTGATCGAAACATATCAAAACCCTTCACCGTTATCACAATGCACATCAGTCAATACACCCCTACTTGATAACTTTCCTCACCTCGCCACGGTTCAGGCAACCGTCGCCGTCGGCATCGTGCCTGAGCACAGCCAAACGCACTTGAGTGTTGCTTGCAGCACTGTCCGGTCGGTCTGCAGTGTGCTGTGGATCTGTGGTGGTGGAGGCAAAAGAGCACGAGACACCAAAATAACCTTGCTCAAGTGAAGAAATAAATATTGGGTAAACACCAGCAAGTCACCTTCAGTCAGAGCGACCCTGACCAAGATATAAAATTAGAGTGTCACCCATGCAGACTCATTATCAGCAACAGCAGCAGGACCAGTCATTCGGTCTGCTCTTCTTCCTTTGTTTTTTCAGAGTGAGCTTGGCAAAAGCAACAAGCTAAGCAGCACAGCCCGGCACCTTGAGAAGCTGTTCTTCCATGCCTGCTCAACAAATCAGCACTTCCCAATGCAAGGCAACGTGTACTGAAAAGTGAAGTTCCCCACAAAGGAACCAAATAAATCATTAGTGCGAGCGCTTCTTCAAGGAAGCTCCCCACCCTCATGTGAGGGGAGCTTCCTTGAAGTAGCTTGAATTATCCGGTGTCCTAGGCTGAACAAATTATACATGAGAGCTTTCCTCTGAAACAGCACTGGTTCCACCTGCTCCTGCTTCTCTGCGGCTGCTCTGCGCAAACCACGGCCTCTCAAGGTCTGTCTGGTGTCTTCTTTGCTCCTAGTAGCGTCCTTTACTCCTAGTATGGCCAGGAGCCCCTGGTAGCTTCTTGTTCCTAGTAGCAATGCCAGGAGCCCCTAGTAGCGTCCTTCTTTGTCTGTTTTGTCTCTTCTTCTGCTTAGCTCAACTAGGTTGGAGGCCATCGCCATTAGGTTGGAGGCTATTATGCTTCTTTCTTATTGGTCTTGTAGCAACACTTCTTTCCTTTTTGTTACAGTCACCACTTGAACGAAAGTCCTTCCATTTCAACCATTTTTTAGCGAAAGCTGTTCTACAGGTTCTTCGACTTCTGCTTGAGGTGTCTTTGTGTACGTCTGAATTCTCTTCGCGCTTCGAGCATCTTCAAGAGTCTTTGTGTGCCTTGGCTTCTTGGCATGGGAGCAATTCCCCCACAAAACGTGATTTTCCACACGCACAAGAAACATACCACTGAGTTTCCACAAGGATTTGCTGTCCATTGGTCCTCAAAAGTATTTGTAACATTTTGTAACAATATAATAAGACTAAAGTAATAAGCTTTGTATGGTCTCTGGGCATCCAGGCTTGCTTACTGTGTCTTTGAATGTTTGAATCCGCTTCGCTAGCTCATCCACCTACAGGCACGCTTTCGTCCAATGCAAAATGCCAAAACTTCCGTTGCAGGATTTGCAAGCACTCACTCAGACCAAAAGAGCATGCTGGCGCCTCCTTTTTCACATGTCGAGCACCTTCACCAGCACCCATCTGCTCTTTCTTTGCAATAAGAACTTTCTCTGACCTGCACTGGAATCTCAACACAACCCAAAGGGTATCAAATCTCCCATGTGTGGAATCATCCAAGCATGAGCAGTCTTTTTTAAATGTCTATGACATGCTGCAGGGTGCTCGCTTCGTCGACGTTAAACACGGATGGTCGACGTCAAACACGTATGGTTCAAACTTGTCTTCAGCTTCAAGCTGACTGCTCTGTCGCTTGCCTATCCAGGGAACCTTTTGCTTCATCCAGATCCTTGATGGCCACGGCAACAGTCTGGCCAGAGCGGATTTTAATGGCTTTGAAGTTTTTCAGTGCACACCTTTTCACACATCCGACATTGTCAAAACGCCACAAAACATTTCGCTTTGTGGGTCATTTTCGCCTGCTTGCTTGAAATCGCTTCGTTTGTCCTTTTTGTTTTTAACTTCGTTGGTTCAGCGATTGCCTCCAGGACTTCAGCAGGTGAAGCACTGCCACCAGCTGTCACTGCTGTGGTGCTGGCGGACGCCTCCGCCACCCGCGCCTTGCGACCGGTCACTGCCCGCTGCTCGGATGGCCCCAGACGACCGAATCTGGACTGCTTGACGCCAATGTGCACATGGATCAACATGTGAAGTGTTTGATGTTTGTTGCAGCATTTCTTAGTTCAACTCACGGCTCCACAGTTTACAGCCCGCCATAGTTATGTTTCATTCGCTTTTCACCTTGCTCTGCTGAGTCTCCCGTCTTTTCTGTCTCCCTCTCTCTCTCTCTCTTTACGCTTGCTCGGCCGCACACCTCTGCCGAATCGACTTCCACTGCAGCTTCTTTCACCAAATTCTCCACCCCTTGAAGAACACAGCTGATTCACTTGACGTGAACGTGTGAGACACGTGAGATGCCAATTAGATATCGTAGAGAAACTGTGAGAAATTA